CATAACATAGACAAGGCTTCCACACAGTTAGAGTATATTGTTATATTTCTATAGCCTTTGTTCCAACAAAGCCATAGACTATGAATTATGCCTAATAATTCTGCAATACCTGGTGGTACAACAGTAAGTTTGCAACTAAAACCCACTATCCATTGATAATGATTGTTCCAAACAGCATCTTTATAACCACTTCTACCATCCCACAAGACTGAGACATTAACTTCTAATTTAATAAATCATCATGTACATGAGGAGTGTAATCTTTCCTCAAAGGAAAAATATAGTAGAATCTACAATAGAGCAGGCTCTAAAAAAAACTATCATGCACATTTGAATCATTATCATTTTCTCTAGAATCAAACGGTACATTACAACGAGAGACCCATATATCCCAACATATGTATTCAAAGAGAGTAGCCCATTGCAACATCCTAAATTTTGGGGCTAGAAGTCCAAGAATTAGCCTATTTTGAATAGGCTACTAGAACTCTTTTGGGTAGGAATCCAAAAATTTCCTCAAAGGATAGAAGGATTTTTAGAGACTAAATTGCAAAGTGAAAGTTTTTTAGGACCAAGAGACAAGGAAGTTAGAGGCTATAGTGAAACCTTAAGGACTAAGTATGAGGAATGAGGATGATTATAGATTGAATCTTGAGCTAGAGACCTTAATTGGATGATTCTTGAGGTTAAACCCAAAAAGAGACCAAATCGTAGTTTTGAAAAATTTCAGGTTGGAAAGGGTAATGGCAGAAAGTATACCTAAAAATTCTAGACAATTTTGAGAAAATGAAAAATGATGTTTTGATGACCATTTAATGTTTAAAATGAGGAAAATACCCTAAACAATGAATTTATGATGTTTTTAGAATTTTGGCTAATTAAGTATATTTAGACGAAACTAATTATTTAAAATATAAGGAGGCATCAAATAATTGGATAAAAATGAGAATTACTTATTTGATGAATTATTTGAGACCATAAAAATGATTCGATCTCCAAAGTACGAAGAGCTTGGCTTTAAAGGAATTTAAAGCCTATTTATGCCAAGATGAGGCAGTTTTTGGGAAATTCTAGAATAAATGCTCTTGAGTCAAGTTTTTACTTGAGAAAAATTAAATAATTTTTCTATAATAAAAGGGAATTAATGTAGCAAAAGGATTAATTTTTGGGCTTAAAAGCATTAAAAAAATTGGTTAAATTTATATTATTATAGAGTAATTTGATATTTCTCAAAAGAAGGACAAAATCTAAAGAAGTCTTTTCTGTCATATTTGTGCAATTATGAATTCATGTGAAACCATTAATGAAGAGAGATAATTAAGAAAGTTATGATCAAATTGATGGGACAAATGTCTTAGTCATTGAGATGGCAGAACATAAAATCTACCCGATACAATGTGATTTTTGTAGTGTGACTTAGCTAAATTAAGAAGCTTGATCCAGAAACCACGATTTCCTTCCCTTTCCTTCTAGATGGAGCCACATGGTGTCTTGTTATGGTAGAAAATTTTCCAAAAGGCCATGTGATGAAATTACAATAAAATAATATTATGGAATCTAAATGAAATGACTTTCTAATTTGATTATGGATTCCAAATCACATTCCAATATAATTAAGAGCCAAGTGAGAGCATGAGATACTGACACTAGCCCTTGTAATTTCTATCAACTTTAAGGGCAAAGATTCAAGGACTAAATGGTGATTTAAAATGATGGATTCAAAACCACATTTCAATGTACTTGAATTTGAAAGTATTATAAATACCTTCCTTCCCCACTTAGTAAAATTTTGGCCAAGCTTAGAGGGTGAGGAGAGGATGAAATTTTGAGGGCCAAGAGGAAAGAGGAAGAAAAAGGAAAGGAATCCAAGAAATCTCAAGTAAATCATGTACCAACTTGAGGTAACTTATGAGGTCGATTGTTGTTGGTGTTGTGATCTAGGTTGCTAAGTTTGATGGTGATTTTAATAAGTTTTGGAAGCATAAAACCTAAGAATGAGATGCTGTCCAAATTTATGAAAGGCATGGAAAGAATGATTTGAAGTTAGATCAAGGTTTAACAGGTGGAAAAGAGTAGTAATCAAGTTGTTTTGTAATGAAAATGGAAAGAATCCAACTTCTACTTTTGTCATGCTATTTTTGGCCAGGTTAGGGTTTATGAAAGAGATGGATTTTGATGATTTTGATGCTTTCAATGAGTTCAGAATGAAAAATTGGGTAGGGTAAAGATGAGAAAGTGATTTTAGAGGCATTAGAAATCAAAATAGAATTTTACCTAAAAACCCTAAGTTTCAGCCTTGATGAGTTGAAGGTAAAGGAGTTGGATTTTGTAATTTTGAGCTTATAAATGAATTTTACATGCAAAATTATGTGAGAATATCATGTAAAAATAATTTTAGAATGGATGGATTAAGAAAACAAAAATTAGAGTTAAAATGTTAAGCTTGAGATCAAGAGAGCATGATATAATGGTCACTTGCTACCATGGCCCTAACGAGAGTATTGAATGATATGTGTATGTATTTAGAGCCATGATAAGTCAAAGAAAATAAATAGAAATGTTGACCAAGCAACCTTAATGGTTGGAAGCAAAGGGAGCAAGAGAAAGATTGAAAGGTTACAAGGTAGCAAACTTTACCTTGCTCTTATATAATTAGTGTTTACTTGCATGAATTGACATGTTTGTTATGTTTATGTAACCAAATGAAATCATGCATTTTTGTATGTGATTTTGTTTGAGATATGTCATAGGTCTATTTATTTTATAATTAATTCATGATGGTTTTCAAACATGTCATTGTGTTATGAGAATGATAAATTGGCAAGCATGTTATGTAATGTCAAGTTATGCCTTGTATGTTTGAGTAGTATATTTGCTGCCTAGATTCTCCTAAATCTCACTCTCTATTAACCAACTATAATAGCTATTATGAGCATAAAAGAGGAATGCAAGATGTGGATCAAGAGGATAAAGGTGAGAATTGAGGAAATGCTTCTTATGCTATGTTATGTAATAATTCTCCTTATATGTTGATGTATGATTAGACAAGGTAAATAATATTATGTAATAATGAATGATAATAAAGGCATGTAAGAACAAGTCTGATAATGCAAGAGAATGACTTATGAAATATTGAAATGGTTGTATGCATGTTGAGATATAATTATGACTTATCATATTCAAGTAAGGGGATAAACCTTCCAATATAGGGTTACAGATTTGAGATAGAGTGAAAGTAAAGCAAACGAATGAATCTACCCATGATATTTTGTGAGTAATAAGAACACATCCTGAGCTTAAAACAAGTGATAAATCACTTAAAATGGATGTGTATGGTAAGAGTTATGATTGTTCAAAATTAGAGTAGAAAAATGGTAAAATACTAGTTAACTATATGTATAGCATCACTTCACACATTGTTTTGTATTGAATGAGCAAGTAAATTAAAACATCCTTCCTTAAACCCTCTTTAGTATGTATTTGGAAGTATTATGGTTCAAGCGGATTATGAAACAAGCCCGTAGATTGAAATTTTGCAATTGGCTCTCGGGTTACTATTCATTAGTTAAATACCAGATATTCGGTACAACTTTGAAAAATCACAACTAATTATAAAAAAATCATATTGAGGTGGTTTGAAATTCTGTTTGAAGCTCTTTGGATTCTCTACAGAGGAAAAATATAAAATTAGATTCAACCCTTTCCAATTCATACAATTTATTCATGCAAGTTTACTATTTATTTGGTAAAAATTGTACTTTCCAGTTTCTCTGTCCTAATTTTGATCAAGCATAAATCTTAGCACTATTATATTTAAGGTTTTGATGATGACAAAGTAAATAGTTAAACTTCTCTGCATATCCTTACTGATGAATGTTTATTGATAACTTTATGGATAAATGTGAAACAACTACTTAAGGTCATGAACTAGCGAAAGATATTCATAGGAAGATAGTCTCTATAACATAATCACTAAACTACTGGACAGAACTCGGCAAGTTCATGTAACGCACATCTTCAAATAACAGGAACAAAAAATCGGACTAAATACTAAATCGGTTAAGGTAGTAGCTCAAGGGTTAGTTAGTCAGATTGGGGTTAACTCGGGTCCAACTGGTCATATTAAAATAATATAATTTAATTGAAAATAACAAAATATAATAACATTAATAATTACTAATAACAAAATACAAGGAAATATAACAACAGTTTGATTGTAATAATAACAAAGTATAACGACATTGAGAATCTTGATCTTTACGATTCATCAAGAACTAAAATTAATAATCATTAATATCAAAATCATCATTAAAATTCATTCAAATCTATAGTAATTGAGATATTAGGAGCTAAATGAGAAAAAATAGAACTAATAACAACATAATCATCTAAACCAATTCATCACCAGTTCACCCCGGTTTGATTGGTTTTCCAGCTGAACCGATCAGTTCAATTCGTTTTTTTTCCCTTGTCAAAGAAAGCAACAAAAATGCCAGTATGCTAGGAACACTGGGTATGAAACACCACGAAGAATAATTTATTGAATCACTCCTGCAGGGGATGTCTGCAACACGCTTTAAGATGACCGTGTAGGTGTAGATCTACCTCTGAAGAATTGTAGAGTGGTTGTTTCTTGTTTTTGGCTTAGCCACTCCTTGTCACAAAAATGAAAGCAATAAAAAATACAGATATAACTAAATTTATCGATGTTCTTAACAAGACGGGGCAAAATGAAAAATATAAGCCAATAACCTGGTGTTATGAAATTTCTTTTATGAGTAGAATGTCAGGGGTTTGATGCTATTTGTAATCGGCTTTCTTTTCTAAATAAAAAAAATTGAATAAAAAACAATCTCATAGATTAAGATTATCGCACTCTATGGAAAAATAATGATAGAGGCAAAGTTATATCTTCTGTTCTTTTTGCAATATATTTCCAATGTTGAGACCAGATGATCACTAACGTTTTGATAAAAGAGAACAAAAAAGAAGGGATAAAATTAAGTTGGGAGGGTAACTACTAATTAGAACCGACAATGTTTAAACATGACACAGTGCTGAATAACAAATACGTACATTTGAGGAAATGAACAAAGAAAGGAAGGAAGGAAGGAAAAAAATGCATTTGAGGAAAAGAAGAAAAAAGTATTAAAAAAAGGAAAGAACAATAATGCCGCCTGGAATCATTTACCATGCGAACTATACAAATAATGTTTAACTGGGACTATCAGCTACTAAAACTGCAACATAAGAGGCCACTCAATAGAAATTACAGCATATTAACCATTCTATACAAACCTTTTCTTCTTGATCTCCATCATCCTCCAAGAATTAATCAATTTACCTCAGGACTGACAAAATGCAATACTGCTAGTAATGAAACTTTTCAAAAGACTTTAGCCTTCTGCAGGATCATTAATCTTCTTCTACTACCACTCTCAACATGTTCACCAAGCTTTGCAAGATGAGCCATCCTCTTCTTATACAATTCTGAAGGTCCATATTCATCTGGTTTTTCTACAGGGTCAGGCGGGTCAACTTCAGATACCTCGAAGCTTGTCTCTGAAACATTTCCTTCATCTGAAGCTTGGATTATCTGCTTCAATCTCTCTACCACCTGGCTCATTGTTGGCCTCTCTTTTGCACTCTTGCTAAGGCAGCTATCAGCAAGCTTGGCAACTTTACGCGCTGCATTGAGAGAATATTGCCCTTCGAGTCGTGGATCCAATGAATTTTTGCTATCAGCAGGATAGTGTTTCACCCACTCCAACAGTTTCTGCTCCATTTTCGGCCGGTTTCGCTCCAGTGAACGCCTGCCTGTGAGAACTTCATACAGAACCACACCAAAACTCCACACATCACTCTTCGTAGTGAGATGGCCTGTCTCAACATAATCTGGAGCAGCATACCCAAATGTACCGACCACCTGATACAAGAAACAAAATTGCATAAGCACTGTATAATTTGGAAATCCTTTTAGTGAATCTTGGACCGATCATGCTGGATGAAAAATGAAACATTGATTGAGTTTGCACATCTTTTTCTTTTCTTAGGTAAAGAGTTTGTTGATAGGAGGGGAGGATCAAATGAAGCTTTATCACTGAAGAAGTAAAAAGAAGTTATGAGTCTCTTGAACAAAACTATTTATATTATTACTTTTATCAATCAACTGTTTTCAAAACTGGTGTTGGGCAGCCTGATTCATGAATTCTAGGATATGGCAGAAAAAAGATATGAAACATTTTGTTGAACAAAAACAAATCTTCAGCATTCTGCAAGATCAGCGAAGTATAACACTTACCGCAGTTGAAACGTGTGTATTGCCAGCGATTGGGCCCTCTCTAGCAAGTCCAAAATCAGAAAGTTTTGGCTTGAAGTTTTCATCCAATAACACGTTTGAAGATTTAAAATCTCGATATATTACCTGCAGCATTAACACACAATCTATTAGAAAGGATGAAGAGTTGCCACCCATAAATTAATGACCTAAAGTTTGACTGGATTTAACCACGGTAGTAGTTTTACAACCACTAAGTAAAAGAAAACCAACATATAAATAAATTTCATAGCAGCTGCACTATCATTTCCAACATAATAACCTATCTTAAGACTTTGGTAGAGATTTAGTTTGTTCAATATCAAGATATAATAGTTTAAGACATTGATTTCCCTTAAAAAACGAAAAGGAGGACACCTCATAGAGAGAGCATTAATTCACATGTTCGGTCAACAAAACCATTCACTCCCGTCCAGAAGTCAAGAAAAACTTCAGAAAGGTTCATTCTTAGCAAAGCAAGTATATCTAAATCTCTTAAGCACGGAAATAAGAGAAACAACAACATCAAGAAATATTATCCTCTTCAATTGCAAAGATCCTTAATTTCTTCCTTCTTTCTATAATGCCCTGCTGCTTTTCCACATTCTCTTGAAACTATTAGGCAGTTGATCTCTAAAGCATGACATTTGTTAAAATAAATCAAACTTAATATGAATACATGCACACATATACAAATACGCTGGGAATTTCCAAGTTATGGCATTTTTAGGGGATATGAAGTTCAACTGACTAGTTTATTCACTTATAATTTTTTTTTTCTCTGTCAAAACATACATGTAATTTATTGGCTTTTTGCTTTTTCTTTCTATTCAATGAGGAAGAGAGGGGTAACTGTTATGTGACGATTCTTTAACTGATACCTGAACTTCTAATTCTTCATGCAAATAAGCTAAGCCTTGAGCTGCTCCAAGTAGTATTTCAAGTCTTGTTCTCCAAGCAAGGGGATCATATGCCCTATGAAAAAGATGATGCTCTAAGCTTTTATTTGGCATATATTCATATACAAGTAGTCTTTGAATCCCTCGTTCGCCATCCACCGCACAATATCCAATGAGTTTGACAAGATTTGGGTGCTCCACAACACCAAGAAACTGAACTTCAGCCAACCATTGTTTATGGCCCTATGTGTCAGGATCAATAAAAAAGATGTTCAGAAGAAGATACTGATGTCTTTGTAATGGAAAATAAAAATAAAAAGCACTACCAGAGTACAGATTTATGAAACCAAATAGATAAAATCCAACAGAATGAGGTAACTTCGATAAAATTTGGAATGAAGAATGCACATACAGTTGGAAGTGAAGCATTCTTCTTGGCCTCTATTTTTCAAACAAGGAAAATGAATGGCAAATGAACTTGGTATTTGGATGATTAGGTGATTAAACGTTGAAGTTACATGAGGATATAGGCTTGCTCTGGCCCATAAAACATGTCCCATGCTTCCATTCAGTGAAACTAGAAAAGATTATGTTTTACTTTAAGTTTTCATAGAAAATGATCCAATTACTGAAAAATACTCTAGTTGTGAGGAAGTATTAGGATGTTTCTTAATTTAAGGTCATGCAGACAGCATTATCCTCAAAATTCTAGTAATGAAAAATGGAGCAAGTGAAGTCTAACAGACAAGCATGACATCATAGCTACACAGTAGAACGTTTACAGACTTTCATATTGATCCTTTGCCCAAATGGCTGGCTACAAGTACGGTTTGAGAGCTCAGTTATACTTAAGAACCTTACTTTAACTGATTGCGTCTTTAGCAGATAATTCAACACACAAAACTGACACTTCCGTATAATGCAATTTCATCTATTGAATTTCTCAGGACTTCATACTACCATAAAAAATGGGCAACTGAATAGTCAAAGTAAAATTTTAAAGTTGGGTCCCAAATAACTTTTCAAGGCTCTTACCTGTAAGCCATCCTTGTTCAGCCTTTTGATGGCAACTAAAATAGGATCTCCTTTTCCATCCAGTGGCTGAATTGAACCTTTATATACACTCCCAAATCCACCCTCCCCTATCTTAAAAAGTTTATTGAAATCATTTGTTGCGCGCCTGAGCTCCGTGAAAGAGAAAACCTGCAAATTATGAGCCCTTTCCTCGTACAATTCTGGTATACTACGAGTGGAGGCTGTAGAACATGCAGATTTGGTGATTCTATCAGCTCCTGAAAACTGGGATTTCTCTTGCTCTTTTAGCACAGGTGCTGATCTTTGTCCTCTGCTCTTGTATTTATCTTTGAAATAGTAAAAGCACTTCATCGAATGTAAGTTCTTCAAGTATCTATATCCATAGAAACACCTATGATCCTCCAATACTTCACTACAAAAATGCAACAAATCAAACAGAGGAAACGAAGACCGACATGCTAAGAGTATGTTTAGATTGATAAGAATGGGACTTCAATGTTCAATATTACCTCGATTTTCAATGTTCAATATTCCCTCGATTTAAACTTTGGTAACCATTCTCTAGCAAAAGAAAATTTCAAATTAAAAGTTCACTTCCCTCTCTTCTTCCATTCTTCTCAATCTAAACATACCTATGCGTGAAAAGCAAACAAAAAAGCCATGAAAACCCAGACGCATACTGAACATAAAACTGAAAAAAGCAGATAAGAACTGAAGAAGATTGATGAACGGAAAAACCTTGTAAAAATGAGCATGCAGAGAAATAGCATAAGCGAGAGAGGACACGGAAAGGACTTACAATAGGAAATGGGAGAGAAAAGCAGAGCACAAAAGGCACAACTTTGCCTCTAAGGATATCCTTCTCTTTGTTTTGCGTGGGTTTCTCGCTCACAAGAAAACAGAAGACCGAGTCAGGGAGCCAAATAATTTACGGAGAAAATAACAGAGACAAGCAAGATGGCTCGTGGGTTTCTTGCCCAGTTGGTTTGGTTGCTTCTGGATTTCTTATATGACTATGACGCAACTAATCGCGTATGAATTTTGATAGTTGAAAGCGGGCATCATCCATTCAAAATGCCTTCTATTTCAAAGTCAACGGTCAAAATTCATAATAAGTTACTCTCCGTTTTTGGAGGCTACCTGTTATTGGTCAGTCCCGTGGAGCTGCTTGTCGCCAACCCTGAGGAAATTACATTTGGGATGACAAGATAAACTATTTTTTATTGCACTGAAAAAAAAATGAATTTTAATCTAATTTCCTCTCCACCCTTAAATAAATAAATAAATGGATGATTCAAATCTAATATTCTACAAAATTATTATTAAAATATTTTATAAACTAAAGTTTTTATATCTGAATTGTTAAAATAAATTTTAACAACCTAAAATTTTTTAATTTTCGATAATATTATAATAATATTTCTCATTAATTTTTATCTAAGGTCAAAGACTAGATTATGAGAGGATATGAATGTCTGGCTCCTCTCTTTATTATAAGGCACTTTTAATTATTTTACTAGAGGTCATTAAATCATTAAGTTCCATTTTATATTCTCTTATGATAATTTTCTTTTTTTTTTTCGATGAGAACTTGTGATAATTTTCTAATTAAGGAAATTAGCCATGAATAGTTAAGGTACAAATTCACTCATAAAGTATTTTGTCATCAACATTGATCTAACATCATAAATTTTTCTTAGATGCAAAAGTATATATAAAATTTTTAAAGTGGTGCAAAAATTTAAGTCAAATAACATTAATCATTTAGCAAATATATAGGTCAAAAAATTGTGCAAAAATATTCATAAAATTCTCAAAATGATACAAAAACACCATGATCATGGGAAACTTAATATGTGTTTTTGTATTATTTTGAAAAATATTTTTTGCACAATTTTCTTAGTTGGCATGTTTGTTAAACGATTAACATTAGTTAACTTAATGGTTGTAGTATTTCTGCATCACTTTAAAAAATTTATGTATGTTTTACACCCAAGAAAAATTTAGTGTTTGCAAATAAAATTTGCACCTTAACTCTGTAATCTATTTATAATTTGGAAGTATAATTATAAATCATCCATTATAAATATGGGATAATTATTGTATCATACATGTTTAAATAATTAGTGCCTAAAAATAATTAATTTAATGATAAATATTATATGTATATAATTGAAAAAGAGGCAGAAAATTTTGAATGATAAATTAAAGGGTTAATACAAACTTTGGTCCTTCAAGTTCACCCTTATTTTACTTTTGGTCCCACAAGTTTTAAATTATTGGTTTTAGTTCCTCAAGTTTCTTTTCATTTGAAACATTAGTTCCTATAATCTAATAAAAAATTAGACAATTTTACCTCCTGAGAGACCAAAACCTATGATTTAAAATTTGAGACCAAAATCAAAATGAGGATAAATTTAAGATATCAAAAATTATATTAACCCTAAATTAAAATATTGTAAAGAGAGAAGGCGCAGTATGTTCTGACCAAGTGCCTTATATTGACGCAAGTCGCAAAGGTCAGATCATTTATTATTGCAAATTCTATTATTGTCCTGCTCCTTTTTCCACTTCTGTCAATTCTATCACTTACACTTTTTTTTTTTGGGGAAAATTACCGTAGAGTCCTACAGAAAACATTTTCCTACTAAAAGGTCCCATAAAATCATAAAATATATATGAGGTCCCAAGGGACTTTATAGCAAAAAATTTGAAATGTTCAATTACTTTGTTGCCTTTCTGATTAAAGACAGAAACTGAAGCACGAGTTATCAATTCTCACTTCCTCTTTCAGATGTCATCTTCTTGAAACACTCCACCGCCCTCTCACACTCTGCCGCCCTCTCATTCGCACTCCATCCCTGTGTGCTCCGACACCTTCAATCTCTAGCGAGGTCTGTCAATGTCTGCTCCGCGCTCCGTCGCTCTCTGCTCCGCACTCCGTTACTCTCTGGTCTGATGCCTCTAATCTCCTGCACGGTCCGTCGCTCTCTGCTCTGCACTCCGTCGCTCTCTGCTCTGCACTCCATCGCTCTCTGGTCCTCACTCCGTCGCTCTATGCTCCACCGCCTTCAACGCCTTCAATCTCCGGCACGGTTCGGTAATCTCTGCTCCGCACTCCATGCCTCTCCGCTCCGCACTCTGTCGTTGTCTGCTCCAACGCCTTCAACACCTTCAATCTCCGGTACGGTCCGGTGGGCTCCCTACTAACACCCTCAATCTCTAGTACGAGTCTTTACAGTCCGATGGTATTGTCGAAGCCTCTCTTTATTAGAATATTTAAAAATTTCAAGCTTTTTGCTTATATTTTCAAAGATGTTTGGTTTTGAATGTTTGAACATTTGAATTGTTGATTGTTCGTAAATCACTGCTCGATGACCTAAAGTGTGTTAGAATATTTAACAATTTCAAGCTTCCTGCTTATCTTGTTCTTTCGTGTCTTTATATATGGAACCAATGATAATTCTGACTTGTATTTTCACTCTGATATTAGAAATCTAAAGTGTGTTGATATTACAATGACCTAACATGTGAATCAAAGTTAGGGGCAAAAGTTGGGGCTAGCTGGTATTAAGTTATATTAGAGATCAGTTTGAAGAACACTGCTTAAAATGTTCGAAATTTTGATTTGCTAGAGCTTTTTAAATGCAACAATCAGTTATTGTTAGTATTGCTGAATAAAAAGGGAGAACTTTATGTAATTGATTTGTTGGGAAATAAAATAATAAAGGTTTTGTTTGGCTTTTCATGGTGGGCTCCATGGTGGAGAGATTATGAGAGTTTTTTTTTTTTAGTGTGAAATGTCCCAATAATTTGGTGATAAGGTGAGAAAGGAAATTGCTTGTTGGATATAGCACCTATTGGCTCTGTACTACACTAACCAATGAAAGGAAATTCATTCTAGTGGATTGATTTGTGATCCATATGTAGCATTGTTTACTGCCGTTCATTTCTTTCAGTCATCCAAAGGGATATATTTTGATTTTGTTGATTATTTAATAATTTGGTGGCCTTGAAGACACTTACTATTTTAAAATATATGTTGATTATGGAAGGGAGGAGGGCGTGTATGATTTGTTTTTAGGGGGTTCAAATCCTTTAGGAAAAATTACAGTAATAGAAAACTGAAGTTTCTGCAGTTAAATATGAAGAATATTGATAAGTAAATATTTTATAATTAAATAGGTTAGATTTTAGAATATATTCGGTTAAATTTATGAATATCTTATGTCTATTTAATTATCTTTTATAGATTTTTCTCTATCTAATCAATAATAAGATAAAAAGAAATTTTGCCACAAAATCTACTCATATCCTATTTTATTTTGTAGAATATATTATTAGATTTCAGTGGAAAAGAAAATATGAAATAAAAATATGAAAGAAAATCAAGTCTGAACTTCTCTATCTAATATGAACATTGTTATTGGCTAAGATAGTGACAAGCAGTTGGAAACTTATGATGTAATGACAGTATTTTTTTTTCCTTTTTTGCAGTTGAACAAAATGAATAAAAAGAGTAAGAGCAAAGATGGACAAAGGGCTAGGAACTTCTCAGGATACATACTATTTACAAAAGAATTTTATGAGCAGAACAAGAAGAAGTTTAAGTCTTTTGAAGAGGGCACTAGCTCTGTGAAAAAGGCTTGGTGGAAGTTAACAGAAGAGGAGAAAGAACAATATGATGAAAGGGCTAAAGAAATGAGAGTCACACCAAAAGGGAAGAATTATATTGTTCCCTTTCACACACGGTGTGCTCCGGGACAATTTATGGAAGTTTGTAAGCACTTAAAGAAAAGTAAAAATAAGATGGAAAGACTGAAAAGAATTGGTTTTGATAAATTGGTTGAAATATGCTGCTCACAAATTTATAGAGATTTTTGTGGTGAATTGATCCGTGTGTTTGACCCTGTAAGTAAGCAAATTTCAATTCGAGGGAAGATGCATGAAATGGGGCCCGAAGATGCAAATCAATTGATGGATCTACCATCTAAGGGGAAGAAATTAAAATAAATGTAGAGAATGAAGATGAAACATTCAAGAAATTAAGGAGTGACTACGGGAAAGTGCCATACAAAATAATAGGAAAATGGTTGATTGAAGGAAAAGAGGAAGAAAAGTTTGAATTTCTTTTTGTTATGTATGCATTAGGAGTCCTCTTATGTCCTGGCTCTAGTGTATGGGTGAGTGATAAAGTGTTGAAGGTCATAGTGGTGACAAATGATAGTTTAGGACATTATGATTGGAACAACTTAGTTTTCAAAGAATTTTGCAACTCAATTGCAGAGTTCAAGAAAGGAAAGAAGAAAGGAAAAGCTGATGGGACGAAAAATATGGGAGGTTGCTTGTACTTCTTAATGGTAAGTGTGGGTATGATTCATTTACTTTGATGTTAGTTGTATTGTCAATGTGCTATGTATGTTGTCATTGCTTGCTCTGTATGTTGTTATTTACTACTCTATGTTGTCAATTGGAGAAATGTATGCTGTCAACTACTTATGTGTATATTGTGATTGGCTGGTGTGAAGGTTGTTATTGGGATAAGGAAAAAGTGAAGGCAAGAGTGAAATCAGAAAAGAATGGTGACAGAGGCATGCTACATGACATTACGAGTGTCGGTGGGGCTTTATCTAGTGCATCCAACACAAAAATAAAGCTAACCCACCCTGTAAGTAAATCATGTCAAGCTTATTTTGGTGCTGTGTGCAATTTGGAGTAATGATTAC